CATGTGTCCTCTCTCTCTCATTCTCTCTCTCTCAAATAAATAAATAAAATCTTTAAAAAAAAAAAAAAAGAAATAATTAGCCCTAGATCGAGCTCTGTTCTAGTACTACCTAATAAATATTTAAAAAGCAAGACCTAAAGTGATCAAATTGTTTCCAGATAATTGTGTCCCAAAACAAATTTGAAGAATACAAAAATAACCATTTACCAACTAGGTAAAATTCACAATGTCTGGCATCCAATAAAAAATTACCAGGCATGAAAAGAAGCAGGAAAATATAACTCCTAATGAGGATATAAAATCATCAGTAAATAAAAACTGACACAATATATGTGTAACTGGAGTCTTTGAAAAAGAAGAGAAAGGGACAGAAAAGGTATTAGGAGAAATGATGGCTCTGAATTTCCCCAATTTGACAAAAACTCTAAGCTTCCAGATCTAAGAGGCTCATAAAAACCCAAGCACAATGAATATGAAGAAAATTACGCAAGGTATAACAAAATCAAATTGTTTGAAAAGAGTGATAAAGAGAAAATCTTAAAAAGAAGCCAGAGGAAAAAGCACATTACATTCAGAGGAACAAAAATAAGGATGACTGTAGATTTATCATCACAAATGATGCAAGCAAGAAGTCAGTGGAGCAGCATCTTTAAAATACTGAAAGAAAAATAAAAACTTTAAACCTAGAATTTTATTCCCAGCAAAAATATCTTTCAACAACATAAGTGAGATAATGTCTCTTTCAGACATTCAAAAGCTGAAGTAGTTTATTGCAAGCAGACCCACACTACTAATTATAGTAAAGTAGGTCCTTCAGGAAGAAGGAAAATGAGGGCGCCTGGGTGGCTCAGTTGGTTAAGCGACTGCCTTCGGCTCAGGTCATGATCCTGGAGTCCCGGGATCAAGTCCCGCATCGGGCTACATGCTCAGCAGGGAGTCTGCTTCTCCCTCTCCCGCTCCCCCCTCCTGTGCTCTTTGTCTCTCTCACTCTCTCTCAAATAAATAAATAAACTCTTTAAAAAAAAAATAAAGACACCACTCTTACGAAGACACCATTAAGTACCTACCCTACTCCACTATGACCTTATCTTAACTAATGACATCTACAATGACCCTATTTCCAAATAAGGTCACATTTTGAGGGTCAGGACTTCCAACTTATATTTTGGGAGGGACACAATTCAACCTATAACAAATAGCAACCCACAATTTTTATATCTGTAGGAAGCATTCATTGAAGAATGGATAGAGAAACCTAAGTTGTTAGTAGGGTTTTTCTACCTTTAATACTATTTTACATTTATGATGTTTTGATTTTAAGTGTCATGATTTAGCAGTCAGAGTTCAGGGGCTTTTCATGACTTTTTCTGTTTTGTCCATTGCCGACCCCCAACTAGCCCTCTCCCCACCACTCACGCACACAAAATTATAGACACACACTGTGGAGCACCTCATCTAGACTCTAATGACCCCTTGATATTCTAAATGTCTTAAATAAAGGTCATGTGTCTGAACTAAACCTGATAAAAATTTGTGTGCACAGGGTCTGCCAACAGCATTGAGTGCATGTAAGCATTTCATAAACATTCCATTCGAATAAAGATAATAAGGAATTGATGCCATCATTTCATTTTATCAAATACTATTTGAAACAAGGTACAGAGTGTGAAAAGAATTTGATTATGCACAGATTTATTGTAATGCTATTTGTAATAAAAGGAATTTGCCAGATAATAAAGAAACAATAGAAACTGCAGAAGTCATAGATCACATCTATTTCCTGTTATTGACAATGTCTGCAGAGTTAAAATGAATATTTAGGTGTTGTCAGTTGAAGGTTTGCTTATTTTTTGTGTGAGGTATTTTGGAAGGGAATCTGGAATAAAAGATGGGAAATTTATAACTTATAATGTCCTTTGTTAGAAGATAGAGTTTTCCATTCTTGAGACTAACTGTATTTTGCTTTAAAAGTTACTTATTTGATCATTTGTATTTCATGGCAGGATTTTCAGTGTCGAGCTACACTTCAAGAACTAAATGCAGTCCCCCCTATATTAGATCTCTTGAAGTCAGAATATCCAATTATTCAGTTGTTGGCTCTCAAAACCTTAGGTGTTATTACAAATGATAAGGAGGCACGGGCGATGCTAAGGGACAATCAAGGAATGGACCACCTTATTAAAATCCTAGAAACTAAGGTATTTATAACTTTCATTCAACTCTCTACAAGGAAATGTATCTCTTCTAAATGTTGTTATAAAATATGAATTAAAGAATATTTTAAAAAATGAAATTTTAATATATTTAGGCATAGTACTAAGTATAAGGGACTAATTTGCCTTTTGCTACATTGTTTATCAGCATGATTAAATCAGATTAATGATAGAGCCATTATAAAATAATTTTTTTAATCTTCTGGTTTAGAATTTTAAGATTTTTAAATTCTTGTTTAGGATCTTGTTTATGATTTCCCGAAATACCTAGAATTAGTCTTTTAAGCTTTATCGGCCATAGTTTTCTCAAAGGAAAAATAAGAAGAGTGATTTACCCCTCATTGTGGAGAGTTAAGTCTATTGACTTAAATATTATTTTCATCTAAAGAAATACTTTCACAGAAACATCTAGAATAATGTTTGACCAAATATCTGGATACCATGGCCTAGCCAAGTTAAAACATGAAAATTAATCATCATAAGTCCATCAGTTATAAATTTGGCACTCATACACATCTCCTTAAATCATACTCAGTCTCCAAATAAAGGCAGTAGCAAGGTCCTACTTCTGCCTGGAATGATTTAACTATCCTGTGTACAACCAAAACATACTAACCCTTTCTCCAGAAGAGGATGTAATGACATTTACTCTTCTCCTTGATATCCTGTAACTTAAATACTATGATATAAAATTAATGCTAATTTTTAAAGTTAGTACATCTTATGTTACCTAAGGGGATAAGAGAGGGGAAAAAACAACGATATTTGTGATGCTATTTGTAATAAATACACACATACACACTTATTTATAACAAAATAAGGAAGAAATACTCATGGCAGTTACAACCCTTTTGTCTATAGGTGGCCACATGGTGGTAGTTGGTATTTATAACTAACTTTCCTCCAATACACATTCCATATTCCCTTTGCCCTCAGCAAGCACTTTAGCTGGATGTGATTCTTTACCTGGTAGGGTGATCCATGTCTTCATTCCTGAGGGTCTGGGCCATTAGTAGTCCTGCCTGGATTCGGTAATTGTAGTTTTCCATTGACCTTAATCACAAGGCGTAGTAATACTAACAGACACCCTAAGGACTTCCTATATTCTAGATATAGTCTTCTTACCTCTACTGTGGAGTAGCAGTCCAATTTCCCATTGGTAACTGGGATCAGTCACCCCAGCAGGACTGTAACTCCCTTCTTTGCCTGCCTTAGAGGCATGGGGAGGCCAAAGTGGCTGGGTGGCAGTTTTAACTTCCAGTACGGTGGAATCATCGTTGTGTCTTTTGGTGGAAGCATTCTCCCCTTTGGAACTAAGACCTCCAGGCCAGCAGAGCATAAGGTCTGGGAGGCAGGAAGCAAAAATGTTGCTAATGGGTCCCTAGGGGTAATCATGAGTGCTGCCACACACATTTCCACCCCTTGATTCCGGGACCCGCCATCACTGGCTATGGGAGAAACGGCACCATATATTGGATGCTGATTCGGAACATAACCTCGTGGAGAACCTTGCCCAGGCCCCTGCAAGGTATTGCCACTTTGCTGACACGGTAACTAAGTCTTCAAAAGGCCATTCTGTCAAGCCAGCTGCTTCGGGATGGCGGGCATCATGGTAAGACAGGGAATTCCATGAGCATCCTTCCTGTGTTCCTCTCACTTTAAGGATTCCCACTTTAAACGTCTCGCTGTTCGGGTAAGGCTGCAGTTTTCCTCAGCGATGGGGATTCGGGAGATTCCTCAGGCAAGAGGGCCACAAACTTATAATACTTCCTCTACCAGTAGGAGATTTTAAGGAATACACTTTCCTTCAGCTTCTGTCTGCTTTTTCAAAGAATATTTTCTTCAGATTTTAAAATCGTTATTGGTAGGAGGTTGTATGAGCAACTTCACTTGGGTACCATTACTGGAAATGTCCAGTAATTATCTTTTATCTGTGGAACATTTTGGAGTAGGGGAAACAAGAAGAGATGGGGCAAATTGTGAGGGAGAGCGATGTTATGATCATAAACAAAACTGTTTCCTTGGACATCTGTCACAACAAAGTTAACAGCAGTACATTCTGACTGACCTTTGTCTTACAGTAAAATTTGGGAAGTATCAATCTCTTTTAGTACAATTTTCTAAAGCTGTGTTTGCTTTTATTATTAGGAACTGAATGACCTTCATATAGAAGCACTTTCCGTGATAGCAAATTGCCTTGAAGATATGGATACTTCGGTGCTCTTTCAGCAGACAGGGGGTCTTAAGAAGCTCCTCTCATTTGCAGAAAACTCTACAATTCCTGATATTCAGAAGAACGCAGCAAAAGCAATAACTAAAGCAGCTTATGATCGTATGTCTCATTTTATATAAACTAAGCACACATACTTCCTCTTTTATTCTTGATTTTGATTAGTACTAACAAGCACTGGAGTATTTGTCTGCTTTTAAATGGTCATCTGAGAATAGTGCCATATTTGCTATTTGGGGCCAAAATTCATCCTAATGCCAATGAGTAAAAGTAGAGATTGCTTTGTCAGGGATATAATAAACTCTATGATTTAATTATGTTTTTTTAAGCAATGCATTCATAAATTAAGTTTTTAAGGCTTTATTTTTTTTGATTTTGAAATTTTACAGAATCCATGCATTGTTTGTGATCCTGAAAATGTTGTTTCAATATGGAATGATATCTATACCGTAATTTCAACTTCAGCCGGAGACTAGCAGTGCCATGTGATATAGCTGTGAAAAATAATATGCTCATACTATATACATAATACAATTTTCATTTCAGTGGCAAGCTATGTTGACATAAATCTGTAAAATATGAGAGATTAATTATATCACAAGCACTGAAGCTGAAATTATAGTTTTAATTTATGTATATTTGGAGTATTTTATTTAATAAAAGAAGTGATTTTATTTTCCCCCTTCCACATCACTCCTCTTATAAATGATGACAGTTTTGACTAGTTTAAGTGATTTATATTCTAAACATATATACTCACATCTGTATATATGTCTGTGTATATATTATGGGAAACATTTCCTTCTCAATCCATACTGATTTCTTCAAGGCAGAGTTTTATTGCAGTAAGTCGAGTTTCACCATCCAGCACATAGTTAACATAGAGGGAACTTGCCAAATCTAGACAGGCTGTAAAATTGAAGTTTTTAATACTGGAAAAAGTTACTTGATTCAGTATTCTGTCATATGGAATTTAGACCTTATCAAACCTGATCAGTTCTGTTTTCCAACTTTCTCAGGACTTCTTAGCTATTTAAGACCAAAAGAAAGGGCAATGGCAAGACACGGACAATATCAGACCTAAAATTTTTGCAATTTCTCTTTTGTCTAGTGTGGTTGGACCATTTCAAGATGGTCGCAGCCCCTCTTGGAATAGTGAGTTTCATTACTCATCATGTGACGTAGCAGTGGGAAGAGCACCGGGTGGAGAGTCCCTGGTGGTCCATTTCTACTGCTAGTCCCACTCCTGGCACTGAGATGACCTAGGTTGTGACTATGAGTGAACCACAGCCTCTCTGGACCTATTTATTAATGATTTATTGAGCCCCCACTCTGTGTCAATAAACCCAGAACAGGCAAAGAAACAGGTGATCACACTGTAGTGTTAAATGAGCTTGATGATAGAAGAAAAGGATCACTTGGGGGGGCCACCTAATGTCAACTTGGATCAGATAGATCTTCCTGACATAGGTGATTTACAAGCTAGGACCTGAAGTAAATAATAGAAATTGGCTGGGCAAAGAAGGTCGTGGTGGGATGGGGAAGGATCACCAGAGCTCAAAGGAGAAGGAACAGTGTATAAAGGCCAGAGGAGAGACAGAGCATGATAAATTCCAGAACTGAAAATTTTCAGAATGGCTCATGAATATAATGCAGCAGAAAACTGAAAGTGAAGGCTGTAGAAGTAATGAGGAGCCAGATGCTAATGGGTGATAGAGGCCAAGTTAAGGACTTTGGACCTTATTTTGATGGCAACAAAGAGCCACTGAAGTGGCTTAGAGAGGTGAGGGACCATTACAGATATTTTTTAAAGAAAGAAGCCTCTTGCTGCAAAGTGGAGGAGAGATTAGAAGTGTGCAGGACCAGACCCAGAAAAGACCAGGAAGGGGATTGCTGTGGTAATCTAGGTGGAAGGTGAAAGTATCCTGAAACAGACATTTGCAAGGAGGACCACCAGCACAGTGCTTGGCACATTGGGAGGACCCATAAGTGTTTGTTGACTGACTACATGGGTTGGAGGAGGAAGAAGGCGATGTCAAGGATAAGGCCAGGTTTCTGGCTGGGACGGCTGGAGGTAGAATGGTGCCATTCACTGAAATGGGGAACTCAAGAAGAGGAGCTGGTTTTGATGAAAGGAAAGGAAATGAGTTCTATTCTTTCAAAAATGGTGGTAAAAGGGGTGCCTGGCTGGCTCAGTTGGTGGAGCATTGCGACTCTTGATCCTCAGGGTCATGAGTTCTAGCCCCATGTTGGGTGTAGAGATTATAAATAAACTTTAAAATAAATAAATAAATAAATTAATTAATTAATAGAAATTATGGTAAAACACACATAGTATTAAGTTTACTGTCTTAACCAATTTTAAGCTCAGTGGCATGAAGTACATTCACGTTTTTGTGCTACCATCGCCAACATCCGTCTCCAGAACTCTTTTCATCTTGCCAAAGAGACACCCTGTACCTGTGGAACAACGAACTCCCCATTTCTTCCTCCTTGCAGTCCCTGACAACCACCATCCTCTCTGTCTCTATGATTTTGACTATTTTAAGTCCTTATATAGGTGGAACCATACAATATTTGTCCTTTTGTGACTAGCTTGTTTCACTTTGCGTGACTTATTCTCAGGTTTATCCATGTTCTAGCGTACATCAGAATTTCCTTCCTTTTTAAGGCTGACTAGTGTTCCATAGTATTGTATATATCACATTTTGTTGATCTATTTGTCTATTAATGGACACTTGGGTTGCTTCCACTTTTTGGCTACTGTGAATAATGCTGCTATGAACATGCATATACAAATAGCTTTTCAAGGGCGCCTGGGTGGCTCAGTTGGTTAAGCGACTGCCTTCGGCTCAGGTCATGATCCTGGAGTCCTGGGATCAAGTCCCACATCGGGCTCCCAGCTCAGCGGCGAACCTGCTTCTCCCTCTGACCTTCTCCCCTCTCATGCTGTTTCTCTCTCGCTCGCTCTCTAATACATAAATAAATAAAATCTTTAAAAAAAATAGCTTTTCAAGACCCTGCGTTCAGTTCTTTGGGGTATACTGACTGGACTTGTTGGATCATATGGTAATTCTGTGTTAAATATGTTGAGGAGCTGACATAACGTTTTCCTAGCAGCTGCACCATTTTACATTCCCATCAACAGGACACAAAGGTTCCAATTTCTCTACATTCTCACCAGTACTTGCTATGTTGTTTATTTAGTTAGTCAATAGCCATGCTAATGAGTATGAGGTGGTATTTCATTGTGTTTTGGTTTGTACTTCTCTAATGATTAGTGATGTTGAGCATTTTTTCCATGATCTATTGTCCATTTGTTTCTCTTTGGAAAAAATATCTACTTAAATCTTTTGCCCATTTTTTAACCAGGTTGGTTTTTTTTGTTTGTTTTTTTGTTGTTGTTGTTGTTGTTATTGAGTTGTAGGAGTTCTTTATACTGTGGGTAGTAACTCCTTATCAGATGTATGATTTGCAAATATTTTCCCCCATTCCATGGGTTGCCTTTTCACTCTATTGATTGTGTCCTTTGATGCAGTTTTTAATTCTGATGTAATCCAATTTATTTTTTCTTTTGTTTCCTGTACTTTTGGTGTTATATCCAAAAAATCATTAACAAATCTGACATCAGGAAAATTTTCCCATTTTTGTCTAAGCATTTTATAGTTTTATCTCTAATGTTTAGGTCTTTGATCCATTTTGAGTTGTTTTTGTATATGGTGTTAAGTTAAGGATCCAACTTCCTTCTTTTGCAAGTGGAAATCCAGTTTCCTAGCACCATTTGTTGAAATCCATTCTTTATTTGTAATACAAAGAAACTCAACCAGATAGTCTTTAAATTCCATCTGGCACTTTATGTTTTATGAATCTACTTCCTTATGTTAATTCTAAAATGACTATATTCCAGTTCCAAATTGTGTCTCCTCACTATTTTAGAATCAAATGACTAAATCTGTATTTATTACATCTATGTCATTTGTGATTTTTTTTTCATGTTCCCTTTAACCACCGTTTTTCCAGACTGAAGAATCTATATTTTACTTAGTCTTTCCCCATATGTCACGTCTGTAGGCTATCCTATAATCATCGTCTTACTTTTTCTGGACTTTCTCTTGTTCACGATACCCTCTTTGAAGTAGGGTGATATGTATTATGAACAGCATTTTAAAAACATGCACCGTCATTTTATGTAATATAAAGATTTGGTTATCTTATGATTATTTTCAATTTCAGTTTTATGAAGCAAGTATCTTAATCAGCCTTTTGACCATGTCAGCAAACTGAGCCAACACTTCGAGGGAAAGACCTACAGTGAACCCCAGATCCCATTTCTCCATCAGGACCCAGAGTTCAAAGTCTTCCATTTTAAATTCTAACATTTTTTGATTTGTAGTTAAAAAATGCAAATTTTGCTTTGGAAATAATATTGCATTTTCACTGAGGTCTAGGAAATAATCAGTGTATACTAGTCTTCTATGAAATCTTGAAAAGGTATGTTCTTTGCTTACTACTTAACAAATATTTATTCTATGCATGCTATATGCAAGGCACTATTCTAGAAGATAAAGGTAAACAATGAATAAAATAAGTGGATAAATATTTGTTGAATAGAAAAAAGATGTATTTCCAGTGGAATGTAGAGTTTGATATTTGCCTTTTAGCTCAGCTTTCTAAATTACACTGTACAGTTTTTGTCATCCTTATTTTTTATCTATTCTTTGATCTATCACAGAAGAAGAGTGGTATGTTAGAAGTTTCTCACTATGTTATTTCTGTTGATTTTTTCTTGTAATTTTATTTTAACTAACTTTGCTTTATTTAATGTTATTTTATATCCATTATTGATTTTTTTAAAAAAATCTCATTTAATTGATTTTTAGCTTTAAATTCTAATTTGATATTAAGATTGCCATTTATCATCAAATATGGTCTTGGCAAAAACAAGCTCTGTAATCTCCAGATAGTTTAAATAAAGAGACAAATGAAGGGACTACTTTCCAAAGTACAGTTAGGGTTAAGGGAACAAACAACGGATGGTGAGATCCCCACAGATTAGCAATATCTTATCTCCATGCCTTAACCTTAAGCATGTGACTTCTGCTTCTACCATTCTGCCAAAATAGTCCTTGTAGAATTTGGCATTAACTTCCCAGCTCCTAAATCTTACAGACATGTCATTTAGCTGATTATTCTCTTCTATTTATTTATTTACCTCCTTATGCTGTTTACATAGCCAAATCAACAATAACCACCTCCTCTTCCCTGCCTCCATTCTATACTGTGCTTTATTTTCAACCCTAAATATTTCTTGTCTACCCCTTCTTATATCAACTCTTGCCTGCCTTGACTTCTCTCTGCCAGACCTAGCCAGATCTATCATGCTTTATTTTATATTAATTAGTAACAATGGTAAACTCTAAAAACTTAACAAGGATTCACAAAGTTATCTCCTAATATTTCTGTATTGAAAATACATAGTTGTGAATTTTCAAAATAATTTTCCACAGAAAATCCTAGAAGAGACCACAGGCAGTAATTACTCTGACATAGGCCGTAGCAACATTTTTCTGGATATGTCTCCTGAGGCAAGGAAAACAAAAGCAAAAATAAACAATTGGGACTACATCAAAATAGAAAGCTTCTGCACAGCGAAGGAAGCAATCAGCAAGACTAAGAGACAACCTACCAAATGAGAGAAGCTATTTGCCCTGTTAGAAAACTCCATTCATAAGCAGATTTTAACAAATACTGCTCTTCATCCTGTTATTAAGAATAATGTAACCATCAGTATTCATTTATAACATTTTTTTTTTACTTTCCATCATCATCAAACATTTTTTGTAGATTAGGTAATGCATTGTCATTGCATGTCAAAAACACAGTTGAAACACACAAACACATAACACACAACCTTGAAGTTTTGTTTGTTGAGTACTTTTTAACCTGCGTCCCCACCCCACCGTAGAAAGCCCAGACCAGTATGCCTTTGACCTGGCACCAGGAGGAGGAAGGTGTTAATTGCCACGTTGCCATGAGGTTTATGAACTGGCATTAACATCTCAGCAGGACCAAAGGTGGTACAATAGCAACTTCTGAGAGTGGGTGAAGAAAGCATCATTACGAGCAGATTTATTTCCAGTTACAAAACCTCATGCTTTTTATTTTAGTGATACTGCACAAATGTTATTTTTAAAGGACATTACTCTATTAGTCGCATAATTACCTTGCCATCTTTATTATCTGTGTAATTAAAACATAAATACTTTACTTCTTGGTGTAGCAATTCAATGAAGGTACTTGGTTAATATATTAATTCATCTTTTAAATCCATTATAGCCACACTGCAGTCAGCACTTTTGAGGTTTGGTGAACACAGCTGGATTTTGAGAACACTCCCAGCAGGGTTGAGAAACTAATTGCCCACAGTATTTAGATTATTTTGAAAAATCTTTCCAATAATGGCATATATACTGTTTTTTTGAATGCAAAAACTGCATTACAACTGCATACTCCAAAGTTAGTCTTTACAAATTAATTCTTTTGGCCGATTTCCCTGGTAGAACTTACTCTCAGACTGTTCCGTTTAGTGAAGTTAATTTAGAGCTTGAGATTCAGGGAAGTCTTAATTATAAATCTAAGCAATTTAGGTCAGAGACTCTAGAAAACTTTCAGATCTTGTTTATTCAGGGATTACTAATCAGGACTACATATATTTTAAAACATTTCAGAAGCCACATACTTGAGATTTAACTATTAATCGCAACATTTTTATAAAACAGTTCTGACCTGACTGAATCCTAATTTTAAATGAAAGGAGCAAGGGATTAAAATGATAGGATTACAGGACATGGTTCATAATTGGTTTAAGACAAATGAACAGAAGTGGTAGTAATTTAGCTGGTGCCAGTTATGATCAGCTTGCGGTGTATCCAATGAACAAAGGCCAAAAATGTTTGCAAAGATGGTGGCATCTCAATGTGATTCTGCTTCTGTGAGTGGGGCAATTTAAAAAACTCATTGTTGGAAGAAGATAGAAATTGTGTATTAACTTTAAAGTGGAAAACCAGTTTCGATAACTTCTCAGAATATTCCTGGAAAAACAAGTTAATTACAGTATATGTAAGTAATGAATTACTTCCACATGCAGATGTTATGTATGACCTAAATTAGTATCAGCAGTTTTTGCAGAGATTTTTATTCTAACAGAATAGTCTCTTATGTATATCAGCATCCTAAAAGCCTGTATCATACATTCTTCTGTTTTAATCAAGTAAATTGAGTTTATGAAGGTCAATTCATGGAGAATCAACCCTAAGACAAAGTTTTTTGAAGGAACTGTAAATAAATTAGCAAAGAATTATTTGTAAGCTGTTGCTTTTCAAACTAGTCTCTGGTACCTCTTATGGCATTAAAATTGAGTTTGGTTAATATACCTTTTTTCGAGACCATGTCTTTAATAAATAGTAACTTATTTAGAATTAACTATAGAACACAGAACAAAAAATTAAGTTTTAATGTTCTAATTTAGTTTAATGTAGTGTTTGCTTAGTATAGTAATGAGGTTGTCATTTATTTAAAAAATGAAACAAAATCAAGAGAAAAACATTAGGGAACAAAGAGAACATTAAAAATACTTGGGTTTTTCATTTAGTGTTCTATGATGGAGTGAATATGGTATGTACTTAGAGTCATAATTTTATTTGTTTTCAAATAAAGAAAATCATGCTAATGTATGTTTAGATTATATTGATGGTAATTTAGCAATTAAATATTTAATTTTTGCTACAACAGCATGTATTGTAACGAGGTAAAAAATGAATATGATTTTTTGATATAAGATTATAAATCCTTAAGACTTGGGGTCATACTCTATTACTCCTTTTTCACTTTCTCCTCTCCTCTCTTTTTCTCTCAAGCATCCAACATGCCAGTTTGTACACCTTAGGCATTCTTCAAATATTGAGTTTTGTATTTAAAGTGAACATCAAATCAACAGGGTTTTGTCCTTAGTGCGAAGAAAGCATTGTGAACATGGCATCATGCCAGGCCCCATGATTGGCGTTAAATAAATTCTCTCTAAATCTGAAACTTGCCTTTTTCTTATTATAGAATTGTCATTTTTTTTTAAAGATTTATTTATTTATTTTAGAGAGACAGAGAGCATGAGCAGGAGGAACAGAGGGAGAGGGAGAGAGAATCTCAAGCAAATTCCGCGCTGAGCACAGAGCCTGATGCGGGGCTCAATCTCACAACCCTGAGATCATGACCTGAGCTGAAACCAAGAGTCAGAGGCTTAACCGACGAGGCTTAACACCCAGGCACCCCTAGAATTTTCTTTGCTGCGTTATTGATATATTAGGGAAAAAATTCCAATATCCATAAGTCATTTTGCATAGTCACTGTGTTCTAAAGGTTAAACAGGTGTATATTTTGTTTAGTTTTAAAGCTAAGAAATAGTTTGAATTCCTGTTATATTTTAGATGAGGAAGTAGTTACCCTTGCACAGTTTTTGCAGCAACATTCTGATTTTTTTTTCCTTTTGGTTTATGCAAGCTGAAAATAGAAAACTCTTTCACGAACAAGAGGTCGAAAAATGCCTTGTGGCCCTTTTGGGTTCTGAAAATGACGGAACTAAAATTGCTGCCTCCCAAGCTATTTCGGTGATGTGTGAGAATTCAGGCAGCAAAGAATTTTTCAATAATCAGGGTAAGCAAACCAGACAGACCCATTTTTAGGCCACCAAACTGTCGTTTACCTGGATGTTTATAGACCCACATCTTCCCTTTCGGTTTCTGCAGGGATTCCACAGTTAATTCAGTTGCTCAGGAGTGAAAGTGAAGAAGTAAGGGAAGCCGCGGCCCTCGCCCTAGCTAATCTGACCACATGCAACAGGGCGAATGCAAAGTGAGTACCAGACAACGCAACACTGCCTCGTTTGGGGCCACCCAACAGTCCAACATGTTCTGACTGTAATATTTTGGCTTTCAAGGCAGTGTACATATTCTGTCAGCTGTTCTATCTTGGATTATTCCTCAGAAACCCTCTCGTGTGGAAGATTCCAGAACAAACAGAACTGGAGAGTGCTGGAAATATTAAAGACAACTTTATATAAACCTTCGATACATCTAGAAAAAATATAAAAGATCCATTTTAAAACGACATAAACATTAGGCAAATCTAGAAACATTTTAAAAAGTCAATCTGAAACAACATAATATGGCTAAATACTATGAGGAAAGATTGGAAAGGAATGCCCTCTGCATTCCAAACACTGTGGTACATGATCTGTATTCGTTATAAATTTTAATTATCTAGATAATCTGTCAACAAATGAGAAAACCGAGGCTCTGCAATTTACCTAATTTTCCTGGGTATACAAATTTATTAAAATATCTGAGCTGGAAATTAAACCCAGGTCTGCTGGCCTCCAGAATCTATGTTCTTTTCTCTACAGAAGACCACCTTATAAAAGAGTGAGAATTTCTTGAAGGCAACTTTCATAAATAAAATGATTATTTCCCCTCCCTACATCTCATTTGGTATGCTTATTAGTCAGGATTCTCTAGAGAAACAGAACCGATAGGACATAATATACATAGACATGGAGGTTTATTATAGGAATTGGCTTATGTGATTATGAAGGCCAAGAAGTTTCATGATCTGCCATCTACAAACTGGGGAACCAGAAAAGATGGTGGTATAATTTAGTCCGAGTTTGACGGCCTTAGAGCCAGGGAAGCCAGTGTCCCAGGGCAGGAAAAGATGAATGTCTCAGCTTAGGCAGAGAGCAAGTTTACCTTTCCACTTTCTTTGTTCTATATGGACCCTCAATGGATTAGGTGATGCCCACCCACTTTGGTGAGAGCAACCTTTACTCAGTCTACTGATTCAAATGCTAACCTCTTCCAGAAACACCTTCACAGACACACTCAAAAATAATGTTTTACCAGCTACCTGGATATTGTTTAGCCCAGGCAAGTTGACACATAAAGTCCACCATCACAATACGTAAGTTATTAACTTTCATGTATTATTCCTTTGTGGCATTGTGGCTAAAATTACTCTTTTTTAACTTGAAATAAATCTTCCTCCACCTCCCTCATATACTTAATCTATCTCTTAGCCTTTCCTTCCCTTTCACTCCTCCCACACAAATATTTTACGAGTCTTTAATGCAATGACTAAAAATCTAACAATGCCTGATTCAAATTCAGCCAAAATGTATAAGCATCAGAAGAAAATTGTGTTCCTTTAAAAGCTACAGTCTTTGACACGGTAATTTCCAAAATTCAGGGTCATCATCATCTATATGAAAGCACATAAATTTCTAGAATATTGAGTCATAGTAAGTAGCAATTTGAAAATAGCTTATTTAGTGATTGTTCCAGTATCGTCGGGCTGGTGCTAAAGTCTTATCAGTGACACTAAAACTCTTCTATCTCAGGTGCATTTAGATTTATATATTACCTAAAACACTTTAACAGGCCTCCAGAGTGTATAGACATCGTAATTTGATGTGAGTTTGCCTGGCTTATATCATCTCACAGTTTTATATAAAATCATAGAAAATTAGGATGTTAAGTAGCTTCTAAAAGAGGCTGCCTCCAGATTTTCTCTTGCAATTTAATCATCTATTTCACAGAATTTTGTCATCTGACTCTACGTTCCATTTTGTGAACATAGAAAGGTCAATTAACACTAAATGATGCCACACATCTCAATTTTTGTAATTTACTTTTTTAAAATTTTCAATTGCAGTTATTTAATCTATTATATATTGTCCTTTCTGATTTTTTTGTTTTTCAATTTGTGTTTGGTATGGAAAATGGGACATGAATAAAAGTGGTTTTATGGATGTCTTTTGAGGCCTGTATAGTTTTTACTTTGGACTTCTGAGCTAAAAGATATTGAAAATAAATATTTCTGAGGAGGAGATGGAGTCAGATTTGACATGTTTGTACCAAATGCTGAAGACTGGAGTTGACAAAGATTCTATAGTCAATCAAAAGGAATGAAAACAAGTAAGCCACATTGTCTATCCTTCTAGCAAGCCTCTTAGAGTATTAATTAGAACCACAACAGAAGAGACAGCAACCATGACTGATTATTTTTAATAAGAAGTGTTTTCTACTCAGATCATCTTTAAAAACATATTAGCTTAAACTCAGCATTGGTGAGTATTTCTAGCATTACATTTTAGAAGCGGGGCCTTAGATCACCTTTCCTAGCTGTGGGATAGGGGTTGGGGGGCTGAGTCACGGCTCTGCTGCTGGGGTGGTGGGACTAGGGGATAGAAAGAATGTTGCTTTTCTGCCACACCTAAGTGGTAAAAGAAGGCAAAAAACCAGAGTTAATGTCTTCCAGGTGCACTGGGTAGCTGTTGAGGTACCTGATAATTGCAAGCCTAATTAAAAAAAAAAAAATTTGCAGTTAAGCACTGTGAATACTAATTTTGTTTGTTAGAAGACAACCCTCCGACATTCATATCCCTATGTGCCTAAAATGGATTTCTAATTCTTTTTTTTTTTAAGATTTTATTTATTTATTTGACAGAGATAGAGTGAGAGAGAGGGAACACAAGCAGGGGGAGTGGGAGAGGGAGAAGCAGGCTTCCCGCAGAGCAGGGAGCCTGATGTGGGACTCTATCCCAGGACCCTGGGATCATGGCCCCAGCCGAAGGCAGATGCTTAACCGATTGAGTCACCAAGGCGCCCTGGACTTTTAATTCTTAAAGCCAGGGCACCTTCTGGAGTTGGAGGCCCATTTCATGAAATGAATGTTCTCTGGTGTGTTATGATTACATTTTATGCTGATATAATTTCCTTTATGTAACAACAGATTTTTGCCTGGCAAGTTGTGGGTAAATTAAAATTTTCTAAGTTAAAGGAAAAAAAAAAAAAAAAAAAACGGGGCACCTGGGTGGCTCAGTTGTTAAACGTCTGCCTTCGGCTCAGGTCATGTTCCCAGGGTCCTGGGATCAAGGCCCGCATCAGGCTCCCTGCTCAG